GGCCCAGCTAATGTCCAAAGAATTTGGGCTTCAGATTACAGGATGGCGACAGGAGGATAAAAAGAAGAAAACATGACTCCAAACGGAATAAAAGGGGCTGGCAAGATGGCTTAGTAGGAAATGCACTAGCTGCCAAGCCTGAAGACCAGATTCAATCCTTGGGATACATGTGTAGAATTAGAGAACTGGTCCTGAAAGTTGTCTTGCAACCTACAAACACACACACACCATGACATGCCTGCATACATCCGTGAACTTCAATAAATGAATAAATGTAATTTTTCAGAAAAAAGGAAGACTGACCAGATACAAACCAAATCTAAGACATAAAATGCCTAAGCCTAAGGTTTCTGCCTCTAGCTCACTGGAGCCAGCCTTCAGGACTTGTCCTACAACTGCTGGACAGGGGACTGGCTCCTTCCTTGGCCTCTGCTCCTAATCCTGTTGTCTACAGACAAGAATTCATTTCCAAAGATCCAGAAATACTGCTTCAGAGACCTGTGATACTATCAAAATTCTCAGAGTCATAATGGATCTCTGCTAACATTTACCACTCCAAGAGTCCAAATCCACTCCAAATGAAATGTTGAATCTGTGTGGCAATAAGGTTTTTTCCATTTAAAGCTGTAAAACCAGAGTTAGAAAAAAAAACAAAAAACAAAAACAAAAACAAAAACAAAAAAAAACCAAAAACCTCGTTTGTTAGATTGTTTATGAGCCTGGAGGTGGGGACATTATCATTCCAAAACAATGAATGGCAAGGTAGCATATTGCTAATGCTACCATAAGCAGCACTGGACTTTATGTCAACCGAATAATAATAAAGTAAAGTAAAATATGCTATCTGCTTACTTTCAGTCTTAAAGAGAGCTGCCGAGAGCCCAGTTGGAGATGGTTTCTGCTTACCTCCCCTTTGGTCAGCAAAGTTTCTCTGAAATGAGGTGTGTATGTTTGTGTGTGTGTGTGTGTGTGTGTGTGTGAGAGAGAGAGAGAGAGAGAGAGAGAGAGAGAGAGAGACAGAGACACAGAGACAGAGACAGAGAGAGAGAGACAGAGAGAGAGAGAGAGAGACAGAGACAGAGAGAGAGAGACAGAGAGAGAGATTTAGTTAGACTTTTGAGAACTGGTGACATGTCTGTGGATGTACTGGGGTTCACAGTATGTCTACCTCCCACTTTTTCAAAGACTAATATTTGAAGTCAGGTAGACCTTTCACAAGGGCAATCTCTGTGCCTTTGGGAAACGTCCATCACCAGCACACTTCCTTCTTGTAGATTTGAGACCACAGCATATTCTTGGTCCATGGTGGCTTTGCTTTCTGAAAATTACCTAAAATAGATCCTGGAAGTTCTACCTTCCTTCCATCTTAGGAACTAATCATGAGGTAGGAGTCCCTCTGCTCTGCTTTCTTACTTCCCAACTCCTCTCCTCCTTGAAGTGTTTCAACCGTTATGGATATCTGTTCCCCTTCATCACATTGTCCTCAGCAAGGCCACTATGCCTTCATTCTTTTCATTGGTGGTTGACTTTAGGCTTGTCCTATCTTTCTTTACATAACTATTATTGTCATTTACAGTGACTTCAATGTCCATGTGATTGACCTCTACACTCTTGTAGTTTCACACTTCCAAAAACCTTTTCAGGCACCAAACTGAAGTTTGATTTGATTGCTACTGTGATTGTTCCATCATTGTGCATTTACTCATGCTGCCGAATTGTTCGGAACCTGATAGCTCTGTAGGTCCCCGAAATTTGAGTGAGCCTCGCCCTTTTCCTTTTCTGACAAAATTTCACTTGATTTGCCGAAAGTTTTCCTTAGAATTTACAGAATCTTAACAAATTAGAAACAATTCAGGCAGAAAAAGAGCACCCTGCTGCCAGACTCTATTTGACGGTACACCTGTGCCACCTGCTGGTCAATCTTAGTTACTACAGATCTACAAGTAAAAGGGAACACCAAAGTTCCGGGACAAGGATATTACAGAAGGTAATTATTGCATTCCTTGTATTTTAAACTAATAATAATAAAATTAACTACTCCATACCAATGGTGGATAATCTTACAATGCAGGACGTTAGGAATCTTTTTGTTTCTTATATGGATGGTCATAATGATGGCAATTAGTTTCATAATCCATATAATATCCTTAAAGAAAGGGTTTGAAAAAAGAGCAAAGAACAAGGAATTTATAGAAACCATGCAGATTTTACAAACAAATAATGAAAACTTAGAAAAAAATGATTCAGAATATTGAAAATGGCAATGGAGATCTGAGATCTGACAAGCAGAATGCAAAATATGGAACATAGAAATGACAATCTAACAGAAAAAAATTGTTCCATGTCTGATGATTTGACAAATAAAATACAAATACTGGAACATAAGACTGAAATACTAACAGAAAAAATTTGTTCCATGTCTGAGACTAACAAGCTAGCAGATAGAACATTGTTTCTGGAAGGCAGTTTACACGCTATTCAGATAATATCTAAGGATGAGAATATTAAATGTTTAGAATCATATATATATATGAAAAGAACAAGAAACTGACTGATTCAATGAAATCTTTAGAAACTTATATGGTCCAGGAAGTTCAAAAACTCAGAGAAACAATGGTGAATAGATAACAGGCTGTAGAAGACCTTCAGGCTGACACACCAGAAGCAAAGATACAAAGATTTAATATTACTTGCACCTTTCAGAGTCTGTGAAGACCTACCTAAGGTCGTTATGTCATCTCCTATGACTTTCCCAGTGGCTGTTACTGAAAAACCAGCAATGAAAAAACACCTAAAAGGTTTTGTTGAATGTCAGTGGGAACCAATAAGCATGAAAGATTTAAAATGTATAAAGGAAGCAGTAGTCTCTTATGGCATGCATTCATCATATGTGAGGCAATTAGTAGAGTGATGGGCAAAGAGTAATAGGGTGACCCCTAAGGATTGGGGCCAATTAATATCGGCTGTCTTTGAAAATTTGTCTCAAATCAAATGAGGGCTTTATGGAGAGAAGAAGATAAAGCTCTTGAACTTCAAGGCTTAAAGTCAGGTTATAAAGCTCCCCAAGATAAAATTCTTGATGAGGGTCTTTATGCTAATCCAGAAGCCCAAGCTGCATATGATGAACACATCTTATCTCTATGCTGTACAGAAAATTTGAATGCTTGGGATAAGGTTCATTAATCAGAGGAGAGAATTGAACCCTATACCAAGGTGTTGCAGGAATCGAGGGAACATTATAGTGCATTTTTACAAAGGTTGTCTAGAGCAGTACAAATAGAAATAGCAGATCCAGAATCTAGGCAATACTCATAGAATCTTTAGCTTTGCTAAAAAAGGGATAATTCACCCGCTTAGGGTTGGTTTTAAATTGTTTAGGGTTGGGTATGGAAGGTGATGCTCAGACTTGGGTATCTCTTTTAGATACGTTTAAAGGTATGGATGGGAAAGGTATGATTAGGATGGGATATAAGTAGATTAACATATTTTCTAGTGGACTAACTTTAGCAACTGTTAGCTATAGATAACTCAAATTGTTAGATTCTTCTATGTTGACCATTTAGGGCCTTATTTCTGTTTACAATGTTTTGGACACAAATATAAAACTATCTTGATGTATATACATTTTGTATATTGATACAGCTTATGATATTTTATCATCTTGCACTGTACAGTTCTACCTCTAGTCAAGACATTTCAGTTCTATCTCTGTCATTGAGAATTTATATTTATGTATATAATTATATTTTTTGAAGTCATTGTCCTTGCTAAATTATTTTGGGAAGCTTCAGCCATTGTACAACTATGTTTCTGAGAATTACAGATTATTATCACCCATGTTTCTTACCTATGAGATTAGTCAGACATAGATATTTGATCTTCAAACACTTCATAGACATGCAGGATATGACATTTAAACGTTTTAATATTAGTACTCCATTGACATAAGACACAATTGCTCCTGAGAGCACCAAGCTTTACTGAGAAAATGTTGGACACCGATGACACTCCTTCTGGAGTTCATTGTCTCCTTGGTTAATGCCCTCTTGGGCAAAGAACTGCCCCCACCTTGACCGCTGACTTTGGACATGCTGTCCTACTGTGCTTACAAGAGACAAACATGGAAAACTGCTGAACCTTGCCAAGTCAGGGAAAAACAGCCTTCCTACATCCCTGCTTCTGCGTTGGTCAGTCTGATACTCTACGCCTTGGTCAAAGCTGGTTGCTGTGAGACTTTGGGTGACTGTCCAGGTAGCCTACTGATTCTGTCTTCGCTGTACCTTATGGAAGTTGCTCACCTGTACTTCCTGCCTACATTAGTATTGTTATCCTCCTTCTCAGCTCTTTGATGAGGTTGAAGATTAGACTGTCACAATTATTGTTCTCTCTTCCTAGATAAAAATATTAGCTACAAGACTTAAACTTTCCAGCTTAGGACAACTCTATAGCAATCCCTGTTATGCCTTTACCCTAGGCCTGGATAGGTAGTTCTTGCCATTTGCTCTTGTTGCTTCACTGGCAATAGGTCTTAAGTGTGTTTGTTCTTACTTTTCCTTCTCCTAGAGCATACTTGATATTTACTATCTTTGTATATAGTTTTGTATCAAGCCTAAATCTGTTTCTTTACACTAAAAGGGGAATTGTAGTGAGATATCCACCTTACCCGCACCTGTAGCACTGACCACACCATTTGGGCAAGGTCACAGGTGCAGACCTGACAGAAATGGGTTTACGTCTTGGACCAGCGAACAGGTGTGCTTTCTGGCTTCTGGTTGGGTGACCAAGAGCAGCCTGGTGTGGATCCTTGGAGCAGGAACTTTTAGCAGCCATCTGCTTCTTGTCTAAGTGACTTCTCCCCCGAATAAAATTATATTAACCTATATTGAGCCAAGTTCTGTGAACCTTGATCCATGCATCCATACTTTCCTGTGCTCCCTACTCCTCATCCCTATCCCATGCTCCCTGCTCCTCACCTTCACCCCTTTCCTGGGCACCTGCTACTAATCATGCTCAATCTTTGCTCTCATTTCCATGTAGAGCCTGTGTCCTGCAGGAATAGAAAGTGTTGAAATATTTTCCATAAAATCCTTTGGAAGTCGATTCAGTTCTTGCTGGCAATATTTATCTTTATTTTCATTCTTCAGCATGAAAATCCTTTTCCTCTCATCTATCAATTCCTATAAAGGAAATGTACAGGGATCTGACACTTTGAAGGAATAGAAGAGATAAAATTCCAAGAAACTGTACAAGAGTACCCTATTTCCCAAAGAGAAAGCATTCTAGTGTAATAAGACTTCAAGTGAATGTGAAATGCTAAAACCTGAATTAGGATTCCCCCGCCCCCCAAAAAATGTGTGCAAGTCCACAGTAAATATCCCTTAAGTTCCTAACCCTCCAAGCTTTCTGTAAAAAGATGGATCTGCATCTTACATCTCTGGTTCTGTCACATCCTGTAATTCTACCTTCAATGACACCATGATTCAACAAGGAGCAATAGATGAGCAGTGGCCTGCAGTGAGACTCCAGTGAGAAACTTTCATAGAAACTGAAGAATACATCAAATTCAGGATGAGCTATACTGAACTTGGGCTGAACTGCAATCCACAAACATCAACTGGGTGAAGGATTTAGGACACTATATACTCATTATTCCAGCTATTACACATTTCTAGCTAAAAAAAAAAAAAAGAATCAGGTGAAGTTTAGGGACTGGACATGCAGTCTTTCACAACTGTATTCACTATGAACACAAAGAATGTTTATCACTGAATGAGACAAGCACAAGTGGTCAATGAAGGCACAGCCACGCTACAGATGTGAAGCAGCACTAGAGTCATGACAGTTAATGACACAAACATTACCAGCAGCTTCTTCTGGAATTGCTGGTTTTCATCCTTGAAGGAGTGCTCCATGAAGACAGCAATGGCTTCCTTCTCACAGGCTGTGTGCTCACACAGCAGTTCCTGGAGCATGTCTGTGGGGAGCCTCAGTCTCTGGGCCATCTGCTCACTGTAGTGGTCAGCTGCCTTCTGCATGGCTGTTGAGTTCTCACGCTAGGCCAGAGTTGTCACAGCATCATCCAGACAAGGCACTGCTCCACTGTTGATGGCATCCACGTAGGTTGTCACCAGAGTCCCCAGTCCTTTATGAACCAGAAGTTATAAGTGAATGGGATCCAAGATTTTAAGACTAGTCTACATTTCTAAATCTCTCATAGCTACATATCCACACTCAGAAACACACACACACACACACAACTCACACACTTCCTTCAGCAAGCCATCAATCTCTTTCATATTGTCCCTTTGTGTTTGTGGTTTCTAGTTCATAATGCTAAAAGTTAATAGCTATCTTCACCTAATAAAGTCCACTGTACGAAAAATATAATTTTGCATTTAAATCTTTAATGGCAAATGGATTATATGAACTACCAAGGAAAAACATATCATGTTATTTCTTAATAGTATCTATCAATTTGCACAGTTTAATCACTAATATTTATATTCAAACTATTTCAATATCCAAATTACATTTCACTTTGTCATTCAAAAAATAATTAATATAGAAGATATCACCTATGAAAATAGAGTATATTGGCTTTAGTTATTTAAACACTGATTTTTATAGGTGATTAAGTCCCTTTTCACCAGTGACTTTATTATCAGTTGAGAATTTTATATAGGTATGCTACAGACATAGATACTAGGGATGAAGTCTTTAAAGAAGGACTTGTAATCTACAATTAAGTATAAAATAGATTTTTCAGAGTAGAGATACAAGCACATTATCATTATATAGATAATTTAAAAACATGCACAAGCTAATAAGTTCAATGTATACTACTCTATACAGAACTAATGGGGGCATGTCCTTTTGTATATATGTTTCTCTTATTGGTTGATGAATAAAACAGTTTGGACAATGAGGCAGGAAGATAGGTGGGGCTAGGAGACAAGGAGAACTCTGGGAAAGGTAGACAGCAGGAACCTGCCACAGAATCCCCATGCTGCTGAAGGAGTGACAACATGCCAGGGCATTACTGGGAAAGCCACAGCCTCATGGCAATACATAGATTGATAGAAATGGGTTAATAATTAAGACAGAGCTGGCCAATAAGAATCCCTAGCTATCAGCAAACAGTTTCATAATTAATATACCGTCTGTGTGTTTATTTGGGAACCAAGGTCAGCGGGACCAGCTGGGACAGAAACTTACAGCAACCCACAAGTGTGTTCAAAAACAAAACAAAACACTCACAATTCCCAATGATCTTAATCCCCTCTCTGAGTGTCTTGATCTTTGCATCAGTGAAAATGTAAAAATCAAAAGCCCTTATTCCTTCCTGAAACTTAGGATCCAGTTGGTCTTCTAAGACTGTCTCAATTTTTTGTAAGAGTTCTTTGTCATTCATTGGCCGGTCAAACACAAAGCACTTCCATTTAGGAAAGAAATGTCTGATGCACTCCCTGGGCAAATTGGATGCTTGGATTCTGGGATTGTTGCATGGTGTTAGGGAAACATAGAGCAAGGGGAATAGTCTTAGAGCAGAGAGCAAATGATGGAGGCTCTTGTCTATGTGGAGTGTTCTGCACTCACAGGTCTCTGTACCATGAACATGCAACACTTCTTTGCATGTCAAAAGTATACCAAGTGTGTGCTTGGTAGAAGTTTGATGAAATATCTCAGGAGACATTTGACTCCCTGGAAGAGCGTATGGATGAAATCCACAGAGCTGACCATGGCATCAAGCATACTGTTGATGTGTGTCCTGTTGACTGAACAGCAGAAAGCTAAATGTGATTTCTGTCCCACAGGAGCTATGGGATCCAAAAGAAGAGCCACAAACAAGAAAACTAGAACATTAGAAATAGCAACAGTAGCAATTCTAAGAACGATGCCATGGTCACCAAAGGAAAACTACTTTGACACTAACAGAATTCATTTCTTGTAAATGCCAAATACACAGTCTTAGAAAAAATGTGTTCTTCACAGCTGAGGAGGGGAGGCAGGACAATGAACATATGATGGATAGGTAAGTCTAGAGATCTGATTGCAACATTAAGACAGTACTTCAGGACTGCTGTATGGAGGATTTTCTCCCTTTCTCTCATGTGGAGGTGTGTGGTGTATGTATGCATGTTGTCCCATGTCTGTGAATATGTGTGTGAGAGTACACATAATGTTTCTGCATGGAAGCAGGGTTTCTCACATGAAACTGGAATGTTCCTGTTCAGCCAGTCTGGCTAGCCAGCATGCTCCAGTACTATCCTGTGTCCTCAGCCCTCTCACTGGATTGAAGGTAGAGCATCACACCACTAAGCATTTATGTAAGTTCTGGAGATTGTACCTCCAATCTTCACACTCAGGTAACCAGTGCTTTAAGCACAAAGTCTAAAGTGAAATATCAATATGGAGTCAGGTATAGATACAATGACATTTATTTAGGAGGGCCCTACTTACTCAGAACAGCCTAGCCAGCTGGCAGGGAACAAGGTAAGTAGAACAAGCCAAAGAAGAAAAGGGGAAGAAGTGTGCCCCTCACTCTTAAACCCCCTTCACATCACTCTGACCTAGTGGGCGTGGCCAGACACACCTGTAACCAACCCCAAGCAGGTGTGGTTAAGGTGTCCCCTACAAAAGTCATCTCCCCTGCCCATGTATTAGGGATTTTTATTGAATCCATTATAGCTGTGCATTTCATGAAAATTAACAATGTGAAATGATAGTTATGCCATCTGCTTCACTCAAGCAATGGCCTTAGTGCCTACACGTGCTCTACAACATCCGGTTACAACACTCAAGTAAAGCAATGAAATGTTTTCTGAAAACTGCATACAGAGCTGTTAACCTTATCAAAAATTGTGAAAGGTTGAGGCTGCCGTGCTCTATATGGGGCATTGCCAGCTAGCAAAGTCTACACCGTGAGAGCTTGTTTCAAAAAAACAAAAAGCAAATAAACAAATAAATAAAAAACAAAATTTTTAAGAAAAAGGAAAAGAAAGAAAGGAAAGGGAAGCTGGGTGGTAGCATACACCTTTAATCCCAGTATATGGGAGACAGAGGCAGGAGAAACTGAATTCTAGGCCAGCCTATTCTGGGCTAAACAGTGAAAACCAGGCCAGCTAAGGGCTACATTGTGATCCCTTGTTTAAAATGAACAGTAATAGAAGATTATAGTAAAGGGACTCTAGCCAGCTCCAGTGTGGTGAACATGACTTTGGCAGGCTTGCCCCTCCCATATTCCCCTTGCCTTGCTAAAGACATTTAGGTTACATTCTTAAAGCTAGCCATCAAGTTCTAGTCCCTTATTTGTCCACTTTGTCCTCCTGAGACGAACTTCCAAGGTCAAGCTTTGGAAGTATTGAAGTCCAACAATCAACAGCTCCCTTTGTCTCGCCTAATTAACATTCCCAATTAAAATTAAACACCTCATCCTAACATGGGATTTCCCCTCTTACCTTTATAAATTGCCATTTGTCTATGGCCTTGTCTGTCACCCCTCTATCCAGAGGCAGTCCTTTGTCCTCTGGAACAAATATTCCTTCCCCCTCTCTCTTGTTCCCTTTCCCTCTCCCTCCTCCTCTATCTCCTGTCTTTGTCTCTTATTCCCTGCCCTTTGTCCCTCTGGGGCAACTAAATCTCCTTTGTGCTGAGAAATGGGTCTTGGGTTGTTCAGGGCTAAACACTTTCCTTTTCATATGTAATTTTGAGAGTGTGACTACTGGTTTCACAGTCTGTTTTCTCACCTACTATGTTTTTAGTGTTTTGAGAAAGCAAAGACAGGAAAATGAAGGCAGTGAGCAAATCAGAAATGGCATTCCACACAAGGCTTCAAAATGTCTCTGCAAATAGTGTATAGATTATTACTATAACTGATACTGACACTGTAGCATGAATAAAAGCAGACTATTGTGATAAAGGATGATGGATACTGAGAAGGCATACACTGAAAAGAACATCTGTCAGTTTACTTAGAACATAGCCAACAAAACCAATGTTCCACCATGAGAAGAAAGATGTATAACTCTGTGAAATATATTTTGAGAAGCTCTATATACAATAAATGTATGAATGAGAATCATGTAGCCAACTATTTCTTAAAGGAAGGCAGACATGAAAATAAGCAATAAAGATATCTGGACTTGGAGAAGTTTAGATGCTGTATACTCCAGATGCTAAAGTACAAACTGTAAAGACCTTGGCTTGTAATAATTTTGCTGTGTTCTAGACTCTACTTTTCTCAAAAGAAACTAAACCCCAGTTCCCAGACATTATCAGCCAATGACCCATGAGCATTTCTGCAGACTTCCATCCCAATGCAATACAAAAGGACCACACAGAGGATGGGAGCAGCTCAGCAGATCCCAGCCCCTCCCAGCCCCACCCCAACCTTCCCTGTCATGGGATCAGCTTCAGTGCATTCTCCAGGTACTCATCCTCGGTGATGATGATGCTGTCTCTATCTAACTTCAGCTCCAGCATGAAATCCCGAACAGTCTTGATGAAGTCTGGAAAGAAACTCACAAACTCTGTGGAATTCTTTATTCCATCAGGACTTGGGGAAGACTTTGCCCAGATCAGCTCAGTGAATTCTGTGACATAAATGGCATTTGGTTAAGGAAAAGTGAATTCATGCACATGAGTCCTTCTTAGGGTCAACCTGGAAGACACAGAGGGCAGAGGGCTGAGGAGAGCACTCCTCAGGAGTCCATATGGGCTGGCCCTGTGGCCTTGTTCTTCCAGGAACTCTGGAGGCCAAGGCAGGGGGAGCAAGAGTGCTTTCTCTGGCTAGAGAAAGAATCCAAGATCAGCCTGAGAAACTTAGTAGAACCCACATTGCTGTGCACAGAACACAGCTCCAAGTGGAGCGAGGACCTCAGTGTAAGATAAGACAACCTGAATCATATAGAAGAGAGGGTGGGGAATGGGATTGAACTCATTTGCTCAGGAACAGACTTTCTGAGCAGGATCCAGATCGCATAGATTCTAAGAACAATTAACAAGAGGGATTTTTTAATAGTTTTTTTTTAAAAAGATTTTATTTATTTATTATGTATACAACATTCTGCTTCCATGTATATCTGCACACCAGAAGAGGGCACCAGATCTCATAATGGATGGTTGTGAGCCACCATGTGGTTGTTGGGAATTGAACTCAGGACCTCTGGAAGTGTAGCCATCTCTTAACCTCTGAGCCATGTCTCCAACCCCAACAAGAGGGATTTTATAAATAGGAAAAAGTCTACAACCATTATACATCGGATAGATAGTTAGTGTTCAGATATATAAAGAGCTAAAACCAAAACCAAATAAATAACTGAACAAGAAGAAAACAAATACCATGATATAAAATTTGGGTATAGAGCTGAACAGAGAACTCTCAAACAATGAAACATCAATGGCTAAGAAACACATAATAAAAGGGTCAACATTCTTAGCCACCAGGGAACTACAAATTAAAACTTCTTGGTGATTTCATCCTATGGATCACAAAGGCCAAGAGCAATGAAACAAATGATTGCACATGTTTCTATGTACTGATTCACATGTGACCACACAGAGACTGGGGCAGCACAGGTGACCTCACAGAGACTGTGACAACACATGTGAACTCACAGAGATGGTGACAGAGCTCAAAAACACCTGCACAATCTCAAACTAGACCAAGTCCCAGCTGAGAAGACAAGCAGACACAAAGTCCTGAGAGAACTTTAGTTTTAAAAATATGACTGGTGCTTCACAGATGGTATCAAAGTACTTACAAATATGCCAATGATATTATTTATCATAAAAAAATCCTAAGCTTCACACGAAATCACAAAATACCCTCTTTAACCAAATTACTCAAACAAGAACAGCAGCACACATCATGATTTAAAACAAATTACTAGGCTATTTGTTTTCATCAGAATAGTATAGTTTATTCAAAAACTTTTCCCAAAGTGCTGTTAACAGACACCACAAGAAAAGCAAAGGAGGTGACAATGGACATGTCTGTCTCAGAATATCATTGAGTAGCTCATTAATTTATACAATTAACATGTGTCAATGAGTATCCTTAAAGTATGGTAATAACAAAACAAAGATATATGCCAATGGGATAGAGTAAGAGGCTCAGAAATAAATCCATGAATTAACTATCACCTGATGTTTACCAAGGCTGTCAAGAACACACTCAGCAGGAGGACAATGTTTTCAACAAACAGTGGTGGGGAAATAGGGCATCCACATGCAGAAAGCAGAATTAAATCCTATGCACACTACACAGAAAAGTCAGCAAACAGATACAGAGTTAAGTGCTAAGATGTGAACCACCAGTGTGCGTGTACAAAGGCCGTCAGACCAGCAGTCATACTAGTTAGGTATAGACTAGGCAGTGGTGGTACACACCTTTAATCCCAGGATTTGAGAGGTATAAAAAGAAGAAGCAAAGTCAGGCTTAGAGAATTTGTCTTCAGCCACTTTAAGGAAAGGCAGCATTCTTAGACTGGCGGCGACAGGATCACCATTTCAGTCTGAGGTAGAGGTAAGAGCTAGTGGCTGGCTGCTTTGCTTCTCTGATTTTCAGCTTGAAGCTTGCACCCTAATATCAGTCTCTGGGTGTTAATTATTGGTGTTACATAAAAAAGGTAGTGTAAATCCAGGGGTGTGGGAACAATCTTCAAGGGCCAGACTCATCTGTGAACCGATATCCTGGCTTCTCCCTCTCCCCTGGTCCTGGCTTTGTTCCTGCTTCCAACTCCTCTCCTCCAGTCCTGGTAGTTTCTCCTCAGCACTCACCTGAGCATGTGCCTTCTCCTTAGGGAATCTTTCCTGGTCATGGGGCTCTCTAATCCTCAGGTTCTCTCCCCTTTCATGGATCACTCTTCTCCGGGTGACCTTCCCTAGCCACTGAGATCTATCTTCTCTGGATGATCGCTTCTTACACTACCCCTTGTTGATGTCCTGTTATGCTGACCGCTCAAAGGCTGTCAAAGGTTGTGTGGCTGTGTCACGTATGTGTTAATTGGCTGTGTAAGGACTCTGCATACAGAAACCACACTGATCTGGGGCCAAGCAGAGCTGCTCCAAAGCAGCTCCATGACTTCAGTTTCAATGGCTCCAACTGATGAGCCTTGTTCTAAACTGCTCACTTTTCCTTTTAAGCAAGTCCCTCCAGCCTGTTATTTCTCTTTCCATTTCTACTTCCAATCAGTTAACACCTACCCCTCCTTTTGCTCCCTTTCCCAATAAACTCCATGTTGAGTTTGGTGGTTTGTGTTTCATCTCCTGAAGCTGCAGCAAAGAGCATCACAGTGTTTCTTTTGTAATAATTTAGAACAGTCAAATGTTGATGGTCTATGAATTCTCCTCAGTGGCTGAATGGGAAGAGACAATGTGGAATAGGAACACAGCATTTTAAAAGGAGAGCAATCCTGCCATTGGAAACATTATGTGTAAATCTTAAAGCAGTGGCCTAATGAAATGAGCCAAATACAAAAATGCTGTGCTACTAATGCCTCTCTGGAGGAAAATGGAAAACCTGTGAATTTAGACACTGCTCTCAGATGTCTAAAACAAAGGGAAAGAATAAAAGGATGAATCAATCATCAGGCAAGATGAAGCAGGGTGGAGAGGCTCTTACTGCATCAGCCAAACAGTTTATTTTAGTCTATGGAACCCAGATGAAGTTGGAAGGAGTTGTGGCATGTGCCTACACAAGCACACACACACACACACACACACACACACACACGCACAAAACCACCCACATAACATCACACACACAACAACAGTAGTTTTTTTCTTTTTTCTTTTTAATCTCTCAGTTCACCTACTTAAGAAACCAAATTCATCTAAGTAGTTATTGTGGAACAAACATGTGCCTTCATTACCTACAGAGTTAGCTCTCTCAAGAACTTCCAGAATGCCCTATGGACAGCTGATAAGTTTCACCATAAAAAAAAATTGAGCCCAAGGTGTTGGGCAAATGGCTCAGTGGCAAGAACACTTGCTCTTCCAGAGGACTGAAATTTGTTCCCAGCATCCACACCAGGCTGCTTCTGACTTTCTGTAACTCCAGCTCTGGGGAATCCAAAGCCTCAAAACACCAAAGATACCTGCACTCACATACATATACCAGAGACAGACACACATACTACATAAAATAAAAATAGTCTGTCAAAAATGTAAACCTAACTCCTTAGCCCCACCCCCAAAATGTATTATAGACATGTCAGAAGACAAGACAGAAGTCATTCTTCATCCACTGAGATGGGCTGATGTCATCCACTTTCTCATCAAAGCATCCTTCCATATAACTGTTCATAGATAATGTCATTCATCCACCTTCTTATGGAAGCACCCATCCACCTAGCAGAAGTAACACTGTGCTGCCTGGGTCACCTTTCAAAATGGAAGACCTTATTCCTCCAGTTATGGCAGTGCTGAGGGGCAACAGCTCTCCTATGGCAGCACTTTGAATGACAAAGGCCTCCATGGCAGACTTCCAGCTGTGGGTGGGTATGAGAGATAGAGACTCAACACCCTTGACCCAACACAGGCTAGCTCAGAAGTTCCAGCCCAGCTCTCCTTCTGGAGTTCAGAGGTCAGAGGATGCCCCATGACAGCTCTTCCTCTCCATCCTGCTTCTCTTCAGGTACAAGACTATATCAGAGTACACACAGGTGGGATTCTCAATGAAACTAGCAGGGTTCTCAGAAGGAAAATCCTTTGTTTTGTTCACTGATATCTAACCACTCTGCCTAGAACCCAGTAATTTAACTGCTAAATAAACTTTTTTTGGATTGAAATCATTCACCCAAATGGCAAGATATAAAAATTTGTTTTCCCTACTATAATATCTCACCTGTGTAATTCAGTCTGTGGAACTTAGATCTATTTATAAAAGGATCAAGCAGTTGGATCACAAGGGCTCATAAGGGTCAGACTTAGCCTCATCCTAACGTTTCCACATCCCCCAGGCCCTTGGTGTTCAGGAGGACCAGGGTGTGCTTTGGCTTGGTGGGATGTGGCACACAACACATCCAGATGCTCTTGGTTGCAGGCTTAACCAGTGGGATGGGGGTTTCTCAAAGACAAACTCCATAATGAGTTTCTTCAATGCCCATCTTCCTCTCTGAATTAATTGGAGTTTCCAGGAGCATTTGTGTGTCACTGTCATGAAAAACCCTAAACCATTTTAAATGCCATATTCTGTAGGTCTTTGAAAGTTTTGAAGAATGCCTATCCATTTGAAATATATCTCTATATATCTAGAAAATCTAACTAACCTAACTATAAGTTTTGACAATTATAGGTAACTATCTATAATCTGTACTTAATTATACATTACATTTTTAAATGAGCTATACAAACACAATACAAGAGGAGAAATATACATATAACAAAATTGATCTTAAATTTTTATCAATAAACCAAAGTCTATATCAATGCAAAGTATTCATTTCTATAGCATATTCCCTTTTTTTCTTTAGAAAGAGATTGGTTGTGATCCTTAACCATTTATAACCAACTCCATTTAAATGAAAACAAACATTTATAAACAATATTTGGGATTTGGGGCATTGTTCTCTCCAAACTGCTTCCTGCTTTTTGGGGGC